ATGTCTGGACCACTTAACTCCGCTCTATAGACATAAATAATTGTGAAACGTTCATATAGCTTTTTTTCCAGTGTTATTTTTATTTATGTAATGTTTGAAAGCAATCTATGTCAATCTAAGGCTCTTAGAGTGACAGATGTAGCATACTGTGCAAAAAGTTAGTGAACTGTTAAAACACTGACAATAAATTACCTTTTACATGCTGCGCACAAATGGATGAATGTGTTCTACAGCAACATACGTTATTAAGCTTACCATTGGAAAGCCGTTTTCTATCCCCCACTGGCTAGCACAGAAGTGGAGCTCATAGCTTGCAATCAGAAGTTGTTTTCTAACACAAGGTCCTCATACAAATCAACATGAACCATTTTTACAGAGAACCACAGCTCATATTACCTTTGACTGATTCCCTAGGCAAATATAGATGGAATTACCAAAACTGTTCTGAAAAACCTGAGATTACTGGCTCATTTGGTTTGAGATTGACCAGTACAGTATGACTTCCATCTAGGAGCTATCCTTAATTTAGTTGGCTTTAAATAAACTTAAGACTACTTTCTGCAGGAAGGAAAGAACCGGCTCTCATGCCAGCCTTGCATAGACTGCAATGAAGACCTTTAAATAATAACAGTTGGCCCCTGGTGGGGTATTAAGAGAATATACCAGTTTAACATGATCAGCTCCAACCACAGGTCACAGTTGACTTTTTGGCCTTTCTGTCCTAGAACAGAGCACCATATTATGTACTAAAAAAACATGAATTAATATTAAAATACAAAATAAAGTGTTTTCTTTCACATAAATAATTGAGGGTAGGGCTGGTGAAAAGAGGGTGTTTGAGTCCATATAGATCCACAGGGGTGTAAGGCTGCACCCTCATAGATCTTGGGATTGAACAAAGTCTGGATTGTCATAGCAGTAAGTCTCAAGGGATGGAGAATCCTTCACGGGAAGAGGTTCTTTTGACTTTTCTTCCTCTTCTGTGTGCCGAGAGCACTTCTTACAACAGCATCCACACATGGTGAAGAAAAGATTGTCCCAGGGTGCCAATGAGTGTAGCCAGATAGGTAGGAAATCCCAGTTTCTCAGGAAAGATGGTAAACATTTTGGCAATTTCTTCTGAAGAACACTGATGATTATAACTGCAGCAATGATCACCAGAATTGGACCACCGACAGCAGCCAGCACAATCCATCCAGCCATAGATAGGCCAAAAACAGCCAGGGGTATAATAAGGAAGGTCGAGAGGAGGTATAGAATTGCAAACCAACGGTATTTTGCTGTAATATCTCCAAATTTTTTGGCTATGTGGATCGGTAAACGAAGGTATGGTACAACATACCAGAGAATAATGCCAGAGAGATTGAAGAAAAGGTGAATGAATGCCACCTAGAATAAAGAAGAAGAGGGTTAATTTATTATTGAGACAATAAGAGTAGAATCAACGTTTGTAATGTTTTATTACAAACTGCATAATTCATTTCATCAACGTTATCTGTCTTGTTAGCTAATAACTGATCAGTGTTCAGTACTTGGGAGGTTGATTGGGGACATTTGAGATATCCATGTCATTATCTCCTGTGCTAAAGTTCACAAATAAGTCTTTGGAAGTACAAATTGTAATATACTTTGGTTAGTAGCCGGAAAGTTTACAATAACACTGCAATTGAACAATTGCTTTGAAATTTACTCTAGAGGATGACTACTAAAGAATTTTAGGTTTTCAATTACTCATAAAATTTGAGGTATTAGGTGAATTATGATTTAGTACTTAGGTCTTCAAAAAAATTCATATCTTTTTCCATAAGCGTAAAGTTGTAATAAAGGCAAAATCACAAATGAACATATATGGTGTAGTCTTATGGTTAAGACGAGCCATTTAACACTCAGGGGTGCAAACAATAGTCAGCTTTTCTTTATTTGTGTAAAAACTTTATCCCAAAAGGAAAAAAAGGTTTCTGTAACTATTTTAACCACCTTCCGCCCGCCCTATAGTACAAAGACGGGCGCAAGGTGGTTCTCTCGTTCTGATAGGACGTCACATGACGTCCTACCACTCTCACTGCGCATGTGCGGCTCAGGGAGCGCGCAGCGTGGTGATTGCCGGTGCGCTGTGTCCTTCGGACACAGCGGATCACGGAAAGAGCCAAAGATGTCGGCTCGGTCATGTGATCAGCTGTGTCCAATCACAGCTGATCACATGTAAACACGGAAATGCCGGTTATCGGCATTTCTCTCCTCTCGAGCTGTCACGCTGACAGCTCGAGAGGAGAGGAGAGCCGGTAATCGGCTTTCCGCGAAGGGGACATGTATGATCAGTGTGCCCTGATGATCAGTGTGGCCCCAGAAGTGCCACCTGTCAGTGCTCATCAGTGCCACGTGCCAGTGCCCATCAGTGCCATGTGCCAGTGCCCATCAGTGCCACATCAATACCACATATCAGTGCATACCAGTGCAGATCAATGCCACATATCAGTGCCCATCTGAGCTGCCTTTCAATGTCACCCATCAGTGCCAGTCAGTGCCACCTATCAATGCCAATCAGTGCCACCTATCAGTGCTGCCAATCAGTGCCACCGATCAGTGCCAGTCAGTGTCGCCTATCAGTGCGCATCAGTGCCAGTCAGTGCTGCCTATCAGTGCCAGTCAGTGCCGCCTATAAGTGCCAGTCAGTGCTGCCTAACAGTGCCAGTCAGTGCCGCCTATCAGTGCCAGTCAGTGCCGCCTATCAGTGCCAGTCAGTGCTGCCTATCAGTGCCATATATCAGTGCCATGTATCAGTGTCATGTATCAGTGCTGCTTTTCAGTGCCATCAGTGATGCCTGTCAATGCCCATCAGTGCAACCTACCAGTGCCTCCTCATCAGTGCCACCTATCAGTGTCCATCAGTGCAGGCTATCAGTGCCCATCACTGCAGCCTCATTAGCGCACATCAGTGAAGGAGAAAAAAATCACTTATTTACATAATTGTATAACAAAAAGTAAGAAAAAATGTTTTTTTTTCCCCAAAATTTTCAGTGGTTTTTGGTTTGTTTAAGAAAAAATAAAAATCCCAGAGGTGATTAAATCCCACAGGTGATCACCAAAAGAAAGCTCTATCTGCCTCAAAAAAATGATAAAACTTTCATATGGATAGTGTTGCATGACCGCGCAATTGTCATTCAAAGTGTGACAGCGCTGAAAGCTGGAAATTGGCCTTGCAGGAAGGGGGTATAAGTGCCCTGTAGGCTAGTGGGTAAAAGGTATTCGATGGACTTAGGCTTTAGTCACTTATGTAAAGTCCTTCTAAATCTTTTTGTCCACCTAGCACAACCCTTTCCAGACAATGCAGCTGTCCAAAGGTGACTCTAGTGCTCCTTCAAATATAGAAGAGTCGCCCTATGATAGAAAGTGTGTTATTGTCTGGATCATGCAGCCACTACATTTAAAGTGGTTCTAAAGGCTCAAGTTTTTTTACCTTCATGTATTCTATGCATCAAGGTAAAAAAACCTTCTGTATGCAGTGCTCCCCCCAGTCCTGCCAATCCTTACCTGTGTCCCCCCTGATCCAGCGACATTCTTAACAGCCTCTGCTGTCTGGGGACTCTTCCTCCTCATTGGCTGAGCCACCTAACGTTCCAGGCATCTGTGTGGATCCTGACTGTAAAGTTGGGATCTTTCCCAAACTTGCACCAGCTGAGCGATGTCAGCCGTTGGCGGGCTAAAGCCCACTGGTTCTCAGGTGTGCAGAACGAACTGCACTCCTGTGATCCATAGGAGAAGTCTAGCCAAAATAGCTTTGGCTATACTTCTCCTTTAACCTGAATAAAACAAAAACATTGAAATTACTCTACATTTCTTTTAACATTTCGACAAGTACTTTCTACTAATTTTAGCAGCCTTTTAAATACCTCAGAACAAGTAAGGAATTACAAGACATCATACCTGCACTGATTCACTTAGGGATACCGCGGGGCTGGCTAAGGCCGCTAAAACAGCTGTAGTGGTGGTGCCAATATTAGATCCAAGGAACAGAGGATAAGCTCTTTTCATGCTGATTACACCAACGCCTGCAAAAATTAGACACTTATTATAAAACATTTCCTACCGAATTGTATGTATGTAAAGTATGTTTAGCAAATGTGACAACATCTGTATATTACCCATCTCTGTAGCAACTTAAAAAGAATTAACATTTGCAGTTGACACATTCAAGGTACAAGTAATATTATCATGCTGGAGGTAAAGTTATAGATTTTACACTGCAGTGTCGTCAGGTAGGTATGGCCAGTATGGCCTGTGTATGAACTATATGTCTAAATAAAAATAAATAAATATATATATATATATATATATATATATATATATATTTATATATATATATATATAAATATATATATTTATTCATTTATACACAGTGCATACAGTATATATATATATATATATATATATATATACATACTGTGTATATATATGTATGTGTATATATATATATATATATATATATATATACAGTATATAATATAAATTATACACGAATCCAGGGTTGGGACCTGAATGAGAAATATATGACTTCATTGTTTGGGGTTATTGTTCCTTTATTGGGGCTAATAAAAGAGACAGTGTGGAATACTCAGGGATTCTCACTCATGCAGGGTAAAGAATTTCAGGGTAATCCATTGAGAAATAGGAAGGCTGATTTGTAATTTGATTATTAAAGTGGTTGTAAAGTCCCCACTGTTTACTTGTACCTACAGCTAAGCCTAAAATAAGGCTGTTATACTTTGCTTTGGCAAATCAGTGTTTTGTTATTGTAGATTGCTATATTGACAGGGGCCTTATTTCAAATAGTTTGTGAGCTAGGTCCTTTATTTCCTATAATATAGGTCTTTTTTTGTATTGACACATCCATCTATACATGTGTGTGTATGTTATGTAATAAGATAATTGCATTCACACAGAGATAAAAATGATATCCAACAACTGTATAGTACGGGTGTCGGCAACCTGCGGCTCCAGAGCCGCATGCGGCTCTTTTTCACCTTTGCTGCGGCTCCGGAGCACACTGCCCACCAGGTGACAGGCAGCCGCGGCTCGCGAGCCACATGCGGCCTCTTTACACACTTCAATGCGGCTCTTCTGTGTGCCGGGGCGCCCGCTCCCCTCCCTCCTCTCGGGCGGCCGCCCCAAAAGTCAGGACTCTGCAGCTAGCCCAGCAATGGGCAAACTACGGCCCTGCGGACCTTTTAATCCGGCCCGCGGAGCGTGGCAAACATTGGCTGTCAGGATGTAGGTGGGGCAGCCAGGATGTAGGCGGGGCAGCGTGACGAACTCCTCTCCTCTCACAGTCCGCCCTGAAGACCGGAACGGCACGGGAACACGGCGAGAGGAACGCGCGGAGCAAAGGTAAGTGAATTGACACAATATGGGGAATGAATTACTATAGGGGGGATGAATTACTATATGGGGGATGAATTACTATGGGGGATGAATTACTATATGGGGGATGAATTACTATATGGAGGATGAATTACTATATGGGGGATGAATTACTATATGGGGGATGAATTACTATGGGGGATGAATTACTATATGGGGGATGAATTACTATGGGGGATGAATTACTATATGGGGGATGAATTACTATGGGGGATGAATTACTATATGGGGGATGAATTACTATATGAGGATGAATTACTATGGGGGATGAATTACTATATGGGGGATGTATTTTCAGTTTTAAAAATGTGGCTCTCAAAATAAATTTCAATCGTGGTTTTGGCGAGATTTGGCTCAGTTGAAAAAAAAGGTTGCCCACCACTGCATTAAGGTAAGAAACAATATATGCAGTGTTGGATTTGTTTTAAATGTTGCAATGGTTTTGCGGCTCCCAGTCTTTTTTTTCCCTTCGGAAATGGGTCCAAGTGGCTCTTTATGTCTTAAAGGTTGCAGACCCCTGGTATAGTATGTCTGACATGAAAATGTAAATGCAAATTTTAGCATTAGATACACTTCAAAGCGGAACTGTAGTCAGAAAATGAAGTCCTGCTAGATCACTTCATGCTGGCCCAGTGGTGCATCTAGATTTTGTGCTGCCCTAGGTATCTAAAAAATCCCCCTCCCCTGAAGAGGGGGAGAGAGAGATTTTTCCAGCACTCACCTTCACAGCTCCCCTGAATGAAACGAGCTGGCCATCGCTGGAGACATGATCAGGAAAGGCCGGTGTTGTACTTGTGCGGTGCACTCCGCCAGGTATAAATAAATGCTCGGGAACAACAGTCAGCCTCTGCCCGCACCCTTACACTGCCTCTCTCAGGTCCCATGTAGTACCTTGCCTGGTCCCCATCCTCAGTCACCTGTGTCTCTTCACCGCTGCCCCCCTGGAAAAATGCTGCCCAAGGCAAACATCTTGTTTACCTCGTGGAAGATACACCCCTGTGCTGGCCCCTTTTGCAGGTATAGCAATGTAAAACATTAAAAATAAATACCTACTGTACACTGTTTAAAATCCAGTAAAACACTGTCTCGCCCTGCTCTGCACATGCTCAGTTGCTCTCTATTTTTCAGCACTGTGCCGAAAATGTAGAGGCAGATCTGCTGACAGCCTAAAGATTTACTGCTGCTCAGGGGCTCTGGGCTTTAGCAAAATGGTAGCCCCCAGCAAGAAGAAACAGGAACAATGCTGGAGGCAATTTATAGCATACACTAATTTTGGTTGCATAACTATTAATGTGGAATGTTTTTCCATTGCTAAAGAACATTATTTTTTATTGTTCTGCCTGAAGCCAGATCTGAAATAGCATTATCATTGATGGTGCCAATCCTTACTGGCAGTACAGCCTGATTGGCACTCTTGGTAGAAGCGGTTAAGCTGATACAGCGGAATTCTGTAAATTTCACTCCAGTATTTTAAAGGAATACTACAAAAGCTTGGAAGGATAAATGTCATTTAATAAAAATTAATGAAAATTACTCACCCATCAGAGGTACAATAGCAGCAGTGAAAACGGAACTACTCTGGACCACAAATGTCATCACAGCACCAATGAGGATTGCCAAATATCCAGTGAGCCAGCTGAATGGGAATGGAAAGTCTGTGTGCAAATAGGTAAAAAAAAATTATATTTTTACTTAAATAAGCATGTGAACAGTATGCTGCATTGTAAAGTTATTGGTATTTTAATTAGTTAATGTGATAGATGTATGTGAGATTTTGAAACAGTACAACATTGTGTTTGACAATATTCAGAAAAATATTTGCAGCGCTACTTGTAGTAACTGCACCGGTTGTGGCAGCAGCACTTGTATCGATGGGTGGTGCATCATGGGCATTACGCCATAAATATGTATCACATTTTTTTATTGTGTAATGCTTTTTATTCGTCGGTAAATGTTTCTCTTTAGTTATCAAACAGATATTAGCAGCACAGTAAAGTGGTGACATCTTAATGACATCTAAGCGATACAGAGGTATTGCACTTAGTCACAATGAATTATAAAATGTGGTATGTTGTTTGAAAGTTTATGCTGGCTATTCAGATCTGAAAGGAAGACTGATTGGTTGCTGTAGGTAGAGACAGCATAGTACCATACCTAGAATGTATGTAGATGTTCTGTAGTGAGTTAGCTTCTACCTGTCACTTGCAGCCCCCTGCCCAGCTCTATTCCACTTACACTTTGAAAATGCTTTGTGGTTTGTCATTTGAATTAATTTTGATGTTTTTTTAAACAATTTTGTTGCATATTTTAATAATATTAAATCTTTACAGACAACAGGATTTAAAATCTGAATATAAAAAAGGGGGGGGGGGTGCAGCGCTACATAACTTAGCAAAATGATAAGTCAAACACAGATAATGAACAATAAAAACAGTGACTATATGTTAATAAGGCCACTGAATGGTGGCTATGAAGTGAGGGAAGTGAAACAGTCCAATGGAGGAGTGCTCTTAAGATCCAGGATGATCCTCAGACGTCCAGTATTAGGAACCGTCAGGTACGCAATCTTTATGCGCATTTGTGTGAAATATCACCGGACCTCCTGTGTCATCATCCTGGTCTGGTCAGATCTGGTCAGCATATCCTCCCTTGCCTGGTACCCGGATAGATGCAGCTATTCCATGGATCTGGCTGGCTCCCACCAGAACTCAAATAAATAGAAAAGGCCACATAGTGTGATATCCTCAGGTATCTTTATTGTAGGCAAAGGATAGCAGGAAAACCAACATGCAAAGTATTACTGACCCAGATACAAATCAAAGATGGCCGCCGGGGCCCCTCGTGGTGCCGGCGGTGAGGCGTCCAACCTGCTGTAGCTCTCCCTGACGCGTTTCGAGCGAAGGCTCGTACTCATAGGGGTGCAGCTTACAGTGGTGGACGCAAATGACAATGTTTAAATACGAGCGATGGCGCATGCGCAATACGTCATGCGCCATCTTTCCTGTGCTGAATGTCCGCGCGACGGGCGCCATTTTATTGTAGCCCAACCCGATGGCGCATGCGCAAACGCCCTGTCATCGGGTACACGGAGACAACCAGCAGAAACGAATGCTATGAGCACCAGGGATGACTCAATCAAATGCTATAAGCACCAGAGATGATCCAATCAATAATTCAACGCTATAGATCACCTACGTGGAAACAAACCAAGATGATATAATTATGGGCAAGAACAAAGATGGATCTTGATTAACAGATCCAAAGTCATGTTATATAGCCCATGCTTATCACAACAACAATAATGCAAATATATAAATACTTCATATGAATAACTATATTCACATAAAAAATTAAAAAATTAAAAGATTATAATTCATGTGAGAGCCTGGTGGTCATGCATATATAAACGTTGGCAAATATATAAAGTCTGCCAAACATGAACATAAGCACATCATAAGTACCCATATATATAAATATTATATCTGAATACTAAAAAGCCAAAAATACATAAATCCACAGTATATATAATCAATGCAGATATAAAATAATACATACATCTATAGACCCGTCGGTCATTAGTGCATGCAGAAAGTTAGAATAATAAAACATTAAATATTAAAATTACCTGAATCACAAAAAATATATCGTCAAAATGACAGAGGAATAAAGCCATATAATGTTAAGTGAAATACACACTAAGATCAATGGCAAAAATTCATATGTGTATATAGAAAGATATCTGGATAGTCCTAATCAGCTGTTATCAATAAAACTATTGATATCCAGTTCTATATTAAGTCCATTGGGGCGCATACAGTCCATCTGGAATATCCATTTTGTTTCCATTTGCGAGACTGCTCTTTTCTTATTTATGCCTCTCCAATGGGCTTGTACAGTATCAATACCTACAAACTGCAATGAAGATGGGTCCCTGTTATGATGGGTCCTGTAGTGTAATGATAAAGAATGATCTTTAAAGCCCTTCTTAATGTTGTTAACGTGTTCACGGAGTCTATCCCTAAGTCTTCTGATGGTGCGCCCAACGTACTGTTTTTTGCACGGACATTGCAAAAGATACACGACATTTTTGCTGTAGCATGATATAAAGTTATTAATTTTAAATGTCCTGCCAGTACTAGTTGATATAAAATTATCGACCCTTTTTCCTTTTGCCATTACAGGTGCAAATAATACACTTGTTGCATGGGAAGAAACCAGTAATATTATTCAAAAAGGAAGTGTTCCTAGGAGGGTCGATAATATTTGGGGCTATAAGATTTCTCAGAGATTGTGCTCTTCTATAGGTGATCTCAGGTCTATCAGGAAGAATATTAGTTAGCACTGGATCCGCCTTCAAAATCTTCCAGTTCTGATTAATGATTCTAGAAATCGTCCTGTATTGTCTAGAGAAAGTAGTAACAAAGGGACAGATTTTTTGTGACTTTTGTGAGGTATTGTTAGCAAGCAGAGAATCTCTATCCATATTACCTATCTCGTGCATAGTGCGGGTAAGACATATCTCATCGTATCCCTTTTCCAAGAATCTATTTTTTAATATAGATGCTTGTGACAGAAAAGTATCAACAGAGGTACAATTTCTTCTCAGCCTTAAGAATTGCCCTTTCGGTATGTTTGAAAGCCATAGTGGGTGATGACAACTGCTAATGGGAATGTATCCGTTCCGATCTGTTCCTTTGAAGAAGGAAGAGGTTATTAGGGTACCCTCTTGGTTCATTAATGTCAGATCCAAGAAATTCACACTAGTCTTACTGTAATCAAAGGTTAATTTAATATTTAAGGTGTTGTTGTTAAGGGTACCGAAAAAATTAACCAATGTTTGTTCATCTCCTTTCCAAATAAGCAGTATATCATCGATATATCGCCTATAGAAATATAATTCTGGCCAATCCCTGGCATATATAATGTCCTCCTCCCATCTAGCCATGAACAAAT